AAATAATATATATACTTAATATAATTATGTTTAATATAATATATTAAGAATAATTATTTCACCAATAAATTGAATAACAATTTGCTTTTAATCATGCTTTGAAAATTCTAATAAGCTAGTGTTGTACTTCACAAAATTTAATCCTCATATCAGTAGGATACAATTGTATTTATTCAACATAATTCTTTTTGATAGAGAGATTCTGTTTGATAGAGAGTTTCTACAAGGAGAAAAACTAACAAGCACTTTGTTTTCTAAAGATAGAAATGTGTAGTGTCCATGTTGATGAAAATGTTTCTTGTATAAACATTTGAAAAACGCTACAAGCTCCTTTGGAAAGGGACTTGGGTGTATATGATCTTTAGAAAATGGGTCTCAATATTTCGTGCTGACCCACTGTTCTCCCAACATTAGTCATTTTGAAAAGAGAAGTGCAAGTGCTTTCCACCCAATCTCCTTATTTATGTTTTACAGTAGAAAAGCTGGAGAATGACTATGGCTTTATGCTTTAGCAAAGCAACAAATTTGTCGTATTTTTTACTTTACTGAAGTTTTATGGGAATTGTATTCTTTACATCATTTAACAGTTGCTTCCAGCTTCTGGCAGTGTTATACTAGAAAGTCACAATGGCAGATCTAGAGCATGTTTTGTTTGCCAGGTAATATTTGCTAGTGGAAAGTTTGATTTCTCCTCATGGTCCATATAACTTTATCCTCTATGATGTAGCATCATAGAACTCTGTTAAAGATTTCATTCTTTCAGTTTCACTGATTCACTCCACTGCTCTTTTGGTTTAAAAGTTGAAAAGGTAGAAAGACTGAGTTGTTGCCAGACCAATTTACTTGAACAGCATTAAGCCAAACTTCTGCTTTCTTTATAGCCATCTTTCCCCTCACTTATATGTCTTTCTCTCTAGAATTAAATATTAATGACCCTGAACAGCTGAAGAATAAATAGTATGATTTTGAACACTTTCTTTTGGTTCTAAGGGTTTGTACTAGAAAATATTATTAAATAGTCTATCTCTTCTTAACTATAAAGTCACAAAATCTGTTGATTATTTAGGTAAAAAATAGATCCAAAACAATGGTAGGCAGAATATGACCTTGAAGTATATTCAAATTTGTAATACAACTAATTTCCGATACTTAAAACATTTCATTAAAATTTTACATGCATAATACTCTGTGCCAAAGACATTAGGCATCAGAGCTTTCTGCAAATTAGTGCTGAAAACTGTTTAGTCTATAAAAGTGCGGGCAGTGGAATTCTAAAAAAAAAAAAAAAGGATGATAGAAATGGCCTTGACAAAATATCATTGTGACTTACTGAAATCATGGGGTATGTGTTTTATTGGTTTTGTGAAATTGTGATTCTTTGCAGGGGAAGTGCGATGACAATTCTAAGACCCAAGCAGAGAGGAATCGAGGCCAATCAAAAAGGAACCAGCATCGATTAGAAGGATCTCAAAGCCAATCGGAAGAAAATCGACACTATTCAGGGAGATCTCGAGGCCATTTAGAGAGATCTCATCGTCAATCAGAGAGATCTCGAGGCCAATTAGAGAGGTCTTATGGCCAATCGGAGAGATCTCATGGCCACCCAGAAAGATCTCATGGCCAATCAGAGAGATTTCATGGTCAATCAGTGAGATCTCATGGCCATTTTGAGAGATCTCGTTACCAGTCAGAGAGATTTCATGGTCAATCAGGTAGATCTCATGGCCAATTAGAGAGATCTCGTGGCCAGTCAGAGAGATATTTTGGCCACTCTGAGAGATATCGTGACCAATCAGAGAGATCTTATATCCGCTCTGAGAGATATCGTGGTCACTCAGAGAGATATCATGACCACTTGAGGAGATCTCATGTCTTATCAGAGAGATCTTATGTCCTATCAGGGAGATATCATGAACAATCAGAGAGATCTCATGGACAGTCAGGGAGATATCGAAGATATTCACCAGAAGGAAGATTCAGAACTTCACTCAAAATTGAGTCTGGATTTGACAGGTAAATCTTAATGAATACTTAATCATTAGTTTAATGTGTTAAGTGATATGCATAACATAAAGGCATGCTTTATATATCTAAATTTTAATGACTATATTTGTTGTAACACCTTATATTGGGACAAAGATACTAACAGAATGGAGGTAACATATAGATGGCATCAATATTTTTTTCTTTTTCTGGGGGGAAACAGTAACATGTTTATTATGCTAATTAGTCTCATTCATGAACGTGGTATATTCCTATATGTTGTAAATTTTCTTTTCTTTTCTTTTTTTACAATTCAACAGTAAGTCATATATATTTTGCATTGTATGTTCACTGCCCACAGTTATATTTCTTTCTGTCACCATATATGTGACCACTTTCATCCTATTTACCTCCCCCCTCAGCCCACTCTCTGGTAACTACATGTCTTTTGCCTATGTCCATGAGTTTCTGTTTGTTTGTCCTGTTTGCTGCTTTTAGGTTTATATCACATATATTAGTGATATCACGTGGTTTTCATCTTCTATTTGGCTAATTTTGCTTAGCATGATTATCTGAAGGTCTATCCACATTGTCACAAATGAGAATATTCCATCACTTCTTATAGCTGAGTGATAGTCCATTGTATATATGTACCACATCTTTATCCAATCATCTATTTTTGCACGTTTCAGTTGCTTCTATATTCCAGCCACCATGAATATGCAGCTATGAACATCAATGTGAAAATAATTTTCGGATATGGGTTTTTAAGTCTTTGGGGTAAATACCCAGTAGAGAGATTACTGGATAATTTGGTAGATCAGTTCTTAGTATGTGAGGAACTTCCATATTGTTTTACATAGTGGCTGTACCAATTTGCCATCCCACCAGCAGTGTATGAGGGTTCCGTTTTCTCCGCATCATCTCCAACACTTGTTATTACTTGTCCTGTTGATAATAGCTATTCTAACAGATGTGCGATGGCATCTCATTGTGGTTTTGATTTTGCATTTCCCTAATAGCTAGCGATATTGAGCATCCTTTCATATATGTTTGTCGGCCATTTAAATGTCTTCTTGGGAGAAGTGTCTGTTCAGGTCCTCTGACCATTTCTTAATTGGATTTTGTTGTTGTTGTTGTTGCTGTTAATTGAGTTGTATGAGTTCTTCATATATTTTGGATATTAGGCCCTCATCCGAGGCTTTGCTTGCAAACATATTTTCTCATTTGGATGTCTCGTTACCTTGTTGACGGTTTCATTTGCTGTGCAGAAGCTATTTAGTTTCGTATAGTCCTATTCATTTATTTTTGTATTTATTTCCTTTCCATTTGAGGTTAAATTCATAAAATCTTTAAGTTTAAGGTCCTTGAGTTTAGTTCCTATGTTTTCTTCTATGCATTTTATTGTTTCAGGTTTTATATTCAGATCCTTAATCCATTTTGAGTTAATTTTGGTGTGTGGTGATAGACAACAGTCTAGTTTTGATCTTTTGCAGGGTTTCCAGTTATCCCAGCACCATTTATTAAAGAGGCTGTATGTTTTTGGGTCCTTTGTTGATAATAATTTGCCCATATAAACATGAGTTTACTTCTGGACTCTCGATTCTGTACCACTGGTCTGTTTTTCTGCCAATACCATGTCTTTTTCATTATTGTCACTTTGAGGTATAATGCGAAGTTGGGCAGAGTGATGCTTCCAGCTTATTCTTTTTTCTCAGGATGGCTTTGGCAATTCAGGGTCTTTTGTGCTTCCACACAAATCTGATGATTTTTTGTTCTATTTCTTTAAAAAATGCCGATGGGATTTTGATGGGGATTGCATTAAATCTGTATAATGCTTTAAGGTAATAAGGTCATTTTAACTATGTTGATTCTTCCAATCCAAGAACACGGAATATCTTTCCATCTCATCGTAACTTCTTCAATTTCTTTTAAAAGGATCATACAGTTTTCATCATATAGGTCCTTCTCATGTATCGTTAAATTTATTCTTAGGTATTTTATTCTTTTTGTTGCAATTGAAAAATGAGTTATTTTTTTCTCCTCTTTTTCTGACACTTCATTATTAGAGTATAGGAACACTATGGATTTTTGAACATTCATTTTATATGCAGAAACTTTACTGTGTTTGCTTATTGTTTCCACTAGTGTTCTTGTGGAGTCTGTAGGCTTTTCTATATAGAAAATCACGTCATCTATAAATAGTTACAGTTTGACTTCTTCATTTCCTATTTGGATTCCTTTTATATCTTTCTCTTGCCTGATTACACTCGCTAGGACTTCCAATGTTATATTGAATAGCAGTGGAGATAGTGGACAGTCTTGTCTTTTTCATCTTAGAGGGAAGGTTTTTAGTTTTTCACCATTAAGTATAATGTTGCCTGAGGGTTTGTCATACATGGCCTTTATTATGTTAAGGTGCTTTCCTTCTATACTAATTTTGTTAAGTGTTTTGATCATAAATAGATGCTGTATCTTCTCGAAGGCTTTTTCTGCATCTATTAATATGATCATATGATTCCTATTTTTTAATTTGTGTGGTGTATGAGATGAATCGATTTGTGTATGTTGAACTATCCCTGTGCCTCTGGGATGAAGCCCACTTGATTACGGTATATAATCTTTAAATATATTGCTGTATTCAGTTCGCTGAATAGGATTTGTGTATCTGTGTTCGTGACAGGTATTGGTCTGTAGTTTTTTGTGTATGTGTGTGTGTTATCTTTACCAGGTTTTGGTATCAGGGTAATATTGGCCTCATAAAATGAGTTAGAAGGTACTGCCTCCTCTTTGATTTTTTGGAAGAGTTTAAGGAGAATAGGTATTAAATCTTTGTTGAATGTTTGGTAGAATTCACTGGTGAAGCCATCTGATCCTGGACTTGTACTTTTTGGTAGGATTTGATAATTGTTTCAATTTCCATACTGCTATTTGTCTATTTAGATTTTCCAGTTCTTCTTGATTCAGTCTAAGGTTGTATTTTTCTAAGTACTGGTCCATTTCTTCTAGGTTATTAAATTTGGTGTTACATACTTTTCATAGTATTATTGTATGATTCTTTGTATTTCTGCGGTGTGCGTCATCATTTCTCCTCTTTCTTCCTTGTTTTTGTTTATTCGTGTCCTTTCTCTTTTTTCTTTAGTGAATCTAGCCAGAGTTTTGTCAATTTTATTAACTTTCTCAAATAACCAGCTTTGTTGCAAATCT